ATAGTGTATAGGTCATACGAGCTATTAGTTGCCTCTGGTCCTGTCTGGGGAAGCTCTGGCTATAAGGCTCTATTAGGATCTCCAGACCTGGTTGTGGGAGCTTGGGGGGCCCTGACTGTAAGGCCGTTTAGATTACTAGCCACCTGTGGTCCCTATTGCAGGAGCTTGATGTGGCCTGGCCCAACGACCAGTTTACTAATCACTTCCAAGTCCCAGTGCTCTGTATGAAAGAACATGTTTTTCTTCTTCCCACTGGAAACAGCCATGCATGCTTAACATTCCTGGTCTCCTCCGAGATGTGTGGGCTCAAGGACCTTTGTGCTAGCTCCCAACAGTGCTGGGATTCCATCTATGGCTGACAATATTTAAAGACTACATGCCTAGTGAAGTCAAACACTAAAAGATGAGAATAAAGAAAAGCCTTCCCCTGCCCCAAATCCTTACAAATAGTCATTATTTTAGGTAAAATCCCAAAGCAGTGTTTACATAATAAAAGCACATACAGTCGGTCATGGTGGCACACGCCATCGATAATCCCAGCAGTCAGGGAGGCAGAGGCAGGGGGATCTCTGTGAGTTAGAGGCCAGCCTGGTCTGGGAAAGCCAAGACTATACAGAGAAACCTTGTCTCGAAAAACCAAAATAAATAGATAAATAAATAAACCACCAAGAGTGAAAGGAAAAGAATGGACTCAGAACACCCGAAACCAAGTTCTCAGCACAAAGGAGATTGATTTGCCCCAGAGGGACTGAGTACAGGCAATAAGAGACAAAGACAGGAGAGAGGTTGAAGGAGAAAGGAGAAGGGAGTGGGGACAAGGCTATTTGTCCTGGAAGGACAAAGGGCCTCTGGATAGAGAGGAGACAGACAGGGCACGTAGGCAAATAGCAGTTTATAAAGGTGCAAGGGAAAACCCCATGTCAGGATGAGGTATAGGGGACTTTTGATTGCTGGACTTCAATACTTTGATAGCTGAACCTTGGTAGGAGGAAGTGGCCAAATTTATTATTAGAGTTTAGCTAGCTTTAGGAACGTAATCTAATGGTTATTAGCAAGGCTGAGGGAATGGAAGAGCAGAACAAGGCTGGCTAGAACCATGCTTAACAATGCTCGAGCAAGTCAGAGGCCCTCCAAAGAGGATGCACAGTACCACGGAGCTAGAAGACACTGAGAAGCATTCTTTTTTTCTTTTGTATTATTATTATTAATTAGTTTATTGAGAAGCATTCTTTCACCGGCAAAATGAACTAACTGAAGACATGTTTAAATGCAGGATTAAGAGCCGATCTTGGGCTCACTGGTCCCAAGGCACAGGGGCCAGGGAAGCCGCCATGCAGGGAGAGAGGGAGAGAGGGAGAAAGGGAGAAGAGAAGGGGGTAAGAGGGGAAGAGAGAAGGGAAACCCCCACCATGAGCTGGGATGGGCGGTGTGCAAGCCACGCCCTGTAACACGCTCACACCCTCTGAAGCCAAAAGCCCCTAATTACCCACTTTCTTTTATAAGTTTCGCTGGTCATGGTGTCTCTTCACAGCTATCTTAATCAATGTTCTACTGCTGCGAAGAGGAACCATGACCACAGTAACTCTTAAAAAAGAAAGCATTTGAGCAATCAAATGCTGGAACTTCAGACGATTATTACCAGCGTGGTGGGGAGCACGGGCAGACAGGTGCTGGACAGTAGCTGAGCACCCAGACTCGCAGGCAGCAGGAAGGGAGATGGCCACCAGGCCTGGCCTGCGAATTTGAAACCTCAAAGCCCACCAGTGACACAAGGTGACACTCCAGGGACCACACATTCAAATATGTGAGCCTACCTCCAGATTCCCACTCAAAGCACAATAGCAACAGGAAAGGAAGAGAGAGAGCCTCCTTCGGTTGGCAAGTCAGAGCACCTCCCATCACACTTTCTACATCAGCACCTCCCCATCTTAACCCTGACCATTGTTTATTATGGTTATCATTACTTATTGTGATTTAACATCTTCCTTCGTGCTAGAAGGAAAGAGCCAGGAGCCATTCTGTTCTGTATAATCTGTATCCTCACTGGCTAGGAGTTTGCCTCCCAACCAACACAGGAATTTTTTTTTTTTTTTCATACAGGGACTCAGTAGTCCTGATTGTCCTAGAGCTACTGTAGACCAGGCTCATCTCAAACTCACAGAGCTCCTCCTGCCTCTGTCTTGGAATTGAAATAAAGTATAAAGAAATAAATATAGGGTCTCTCTCAAGGAAAGGAAACATTCTGCCCCAAAGATCCATACTCAGACCTCTTCTTACTTTTTTTGGGACAAGGGCTCACTAAAGTTTCCACACAGGGTTTCAACTTGTGATCCTCCTGCCTCACCCCTTCATTAAGTCAACTGCAGGCTTGCTTCACCACCAGGCCCAACTCCCAAAATTCTTAAGTAAATTAATGATACTCCATCTAATACTGCTTTTGAGTCTAAGAGGAAGAAATGGCTTAGAGGCTATGAATGGTAATATCAATAAACATCTATAAAATACATATTAAAGAGACTTGAACCTAGTGTCCCTGGTCACAACAACAATCCCCGGCTTAAAGGTCAATTTCTGAAGATAAATAAAGACTAAATATCAGTTCCTGAAACAGAAATAAAGCTAGGCCTCAGCCTTTTTGTCCAAAATTTTGAGCTAAGACAGTCCCCCTCTTTTTTGTTTTCTGTCATTATTATTGTTTGCTTGCTTTTTTCATAGGACAACTTTACTGGAAAAAAATAAGACAAACAACAGTCGCACCCAGCAGACAAGGTCTCTCTCATTCTGTCTCACACTCACCCACGCTGTCACCCACACTCCAGCTTGTGACCTACAGGCTAGTTCTCAGCTGAAGGGATGGGGTACCTCCAGGTTCCTGAGACCCAGAGACATAATGGCCATCCCCTTAAAGGCACCCGACTCCACGGATCCCAGTGACACTGATATGTCGTTCTGTGCTTCGCTCAACAAAACTGAGGCAGTGCACGGACAGTGAAGCGGTTTGTGTTGAAGATGGCCTGCAGCGGAACGAGGATGATTACAGCAGTTACGGCGGAGAAGAGCGGAGGTAGCCCTCCTCCCACTTAGAAAGAATAGATATCTGTGTATGTTTCATCCATCCCCGAGTTCCTTTCCAACTAAGGGAGGAAACTTACTCTGCTTCTCCATGGCTCAAAGTTGGGGTATAATCAAAAAGGGGGGGGGCCTGGAGAGATGGCTCAGTGGTTATGAGTACTGGCTGCTCTTTCAGAGGTCCAGGGTTCAATTCCCAGCACCCACATGGCAGCTCACAACCATCTATAACTCCAGTTCCAGAGGATCTGATATCCTCACACCAATACACACAAAATAAGATTAAAATAAGAACTATCTTTAAAAAAAGAAAAAAGAAAGAAAGAAAGAAAAGAAAGAAAGAAAGAAAGAAAGAAAGAAAGAAAGAAAGAAAGAAA